ACTCTTTCACCCCCCCTCTAAAAAATTTCAGAACCATTAAAACTCTTGGTCAGTTTGGAATGGCAGAGAGTGATATGTTTGAGGCTGGATTGGATCCATTTTTCCCCATGGGCTATAACAAAGGTTTCATTTTAAATCTTGACACTGTGCAGCACTCTTTCTGGTGGAGGTGGGGAGGGGGGCTATAGCACTTCTCGTTACGAGAATAGCAGAGTTCACTCTGCTTGAAAAGCAGCCACACTGGGCAAGTTTCAGAGCCATGTGTCTCCGTGTTGAAAGGCGGTAGAGAGCCAGCACAGAACGACATGACAGAAGTGTCACGTGGGACAGTCTTGCTTCGAGGCTGTGTCTGAGGAAGCCTCTTCCCTGGATGGGAATTGAAACAGATCCGTTAACACTCCCTAGGTCAGAATGAAGTCTCAAAAGAGCACCAGGCCAAATGTCCACATCTTCTTTTTTTTTCGAAAGTTTAAAAAAAAAAAAATCCCCCGTTCGCCTTTCAACTAGCTCAACATGATTAAAACAAAAGGAAAAAAAAAATCAAATGCATAAGTTAAGAGTAACTCCAATTCTGAGATATGAGGAAAGATGGCATTCTCAGACAAAATCAGCTTTGTTAGGCAACAACTGAAGGACACACAGATAAAAGATTCTTCCTCAGAGCTCAATAACAGCGTTTCTGGTGCCCAATTTCGTAACCAAAATGATGTCTGCTTTTGGCCTCAAGTTACCTGTAAGTAGTTTTCTTTCTTTCTCTTCGCTCCACCCCATATTGCAGAATGAAAATTATACTAAAACTGAGATAATGACAGTATACAATTTGCTTAGAAAAAACACCACAAAATAAAATTATGGTTTTTATGGCTACATATGCTAAGTATGTAAATACAGTAAAAAGGTCTGGAAGAATACATAACCTGATGTCCGGCATTATCTCTTTGGAAGGCACAGGGGTTGGGGGAGAGTTGAAAGAAATTTTAGAAAAGAATGTTATACTTTTATAAGGAGATTTTATATATTACTTATGTAATAATTGTAAAAGTTTTAGGCAAGAAGCAGCAGCAGTAGTAGCAGCAGAGGAAGAGGAGAGAAAGCATAAAAAAACGGCAATCTGTAACAGCCAAAACTTGGAAGCATCCTCAACGCCCAACAACAGCCGATGATTAAAATGGCACATCCATACAACTGAATCCTATTTTTTAAAAGCTGTATTAGATTTTTTAATCACGTAGGAGAAAGTTCAACATATATTAAATGAGGACAGTTTTAAAGTAGTTTAACGTGATCCCTTTTTATACATATTTGTAAAAAATAAATAAGAAAATGTGTGTGCGTGATGTATAGAAAAGAAGATAAAATATACACCAAGTGTTAGTGGTAGATAGTTATCTCTGGATAGTGAGAATAAGGATAATTTTTTATTTCTTCTTTTTGCTGGGTTTTCTAAATAGTTTACAATAAGCACTGTATATAGTAAAAAGATTTCCCCTACGATGAATACTTCTGGCTTTTGTATATAATACATTTATAATTTTTCAAAAATCAAGACACAAACATTATATTCTTAACAATTTAGAGTCCAAAATAAACATGAGCCTTTGAATTCCAAGAGATCTTGAAGCTGTGCAAATAGCATGACTCGGCAAGCAAGTAAAAACTAAAGTGGTAACTTCAACCTAGGTTATAATGGGGAGCAAAATTATTCTGTTTGTCACAAATCAAAAGTCTACAGGCTGCCGGCTTCCCGACCTCTCTCAGAGGAGTCTGAGCACAGGTCTGATCTGCCTCTCCCGGGGAAAGCCAGTGTCTGTCAGGAGCCACACGGCACCCCGACCTATTCCCCTTCCTGAGCCTGAGAGGATTCCAGCCCTATCCTTTAAAGCTGCAGAAGGTACGGTCACTTTCAGGATACGAGTTTCGCTGGCTAAAGTGACTGCTTTCTGAAGTGATCTCCAGAGATACCTTGTCTCATTTGAATGGCAGTTTCAAGAAACCAGTCTTTCAGACAATACTGGGACCTAGACCCGTGAGTGACTCAGATAGTGACTAACGGGGCAGGACCCAACCTCTCATATGCTGGGGAACACAGCTGGGCCAGACAACATTCTCTGCAGAAAAGAAGCTCCCTAACTTTTCTTAATATCTTAATTTTTAAAAACTGAACAAGATAGGAGCGAACCAGTAGCAAAAAACAAAACAAAACAACTAAGCCGTATGACAGGGTAACAATGAGGGGGAAAAATCATAGTGCTACAGAACATAAGGACTGGAACAGACCTTGGAGATCATCTATTTAAACTACTGATAAGGAAACCAGAGCCCACAGAGGCTCTGACTTGTTCCCTCTCGAGGTCTTAGAACTAGTCAGCGGAGAAAAACAAACTCTTCTTGGCACTTGGTTCCATCTAACACTCCGCACCTCTTTTTCGCTGGTTGCTGAGAGGAAGGAGACCAGCGTTGCACACATTAGGCCCTCAAGCGTACGCGGATGCAACGGAGAACACGGGGCACGGACAAGACGAAGACTGGGAGAGCCACGGGGGGCTTTTCTCAGCAGGCAGGCGGGACAGTGGATGTGTCTTCAGCTGCTCCCCATTACAATCTCCTCACTCTTAATTCGTTTTCAACGCCTCCCACATTTCACATCTTCTTGGTAATTAGGCAGCAGTCCATGTTGTTGTGTGTGGCTCGGGCTCATTGCTTTTCTAGTCTTACAGACTTCTATACTTTTTTTTTTTTCCAATAGAAAAATTATTGCTGTTTCTGCCTTCCAGAATAAATATGGGGCTCAATTCTCTTTTTACCTTGAGGAGAGCACAAGAGGAATACTCACTGAGGGGCTGGGATGCCTAGAATTTACATACATTTTCCTCATATGAACACTACGACGACTCATTGTTCACGAAGGTGCAACGAGACTGGCCTTATCTTTTTGCCAACAGAATATGTTATATGCAGGAATGGAAGAGATCTTGAAAAATAATCTGGACCACAGCAAACCACCTCTGACAAATGAGATAATCTGTTCGCTTGCGAAGGCTTCCAGAGAAGAAAATTCCTGAACGTCTTCCCTCTGTGAAATCTTCTTACACCTCTCCAGCTGCAACATAAGCCTATTTTATTTTTCTCTTGCTGTCATCCAAAAGAAGTGAAAACTATTTGGTTATGACCCTAATATTTAAACACAGTTAGGGTACCCCCAACAGCTGTCTCCAAATAAAACTTTTTTTACCTTATTATTTTTTTTTTTTTGCGGTACACGGGCCCCTCACTGTCGTGGCCCCTCCCACTGCACAGCACAGGCTCTGGACGCGCAGCCTCAGCGGCCATGGCGCACGGGCCCAGCCGCTCGGCGGCATGTGGGATCTTCCCGGACCGGGACACGAACCCACGTCCCCTGCATCGGCAGGCGGACTCTCAACCACTGCGCCACCAGGGAAGCCCTACCTTATTTTTTTAAAGATTAATTTGTCCTCTCAGAAATCAATTTCTAGCTTTTTAATCATTATTGTGATCCTTTCTCAAACTTCCTTCAAAATATCTAAATATGAGAGTTTTAAAAAGGGAGAAAAATAAGGTTCTAACTAATGCTTAACCTGATTTAAAAAATATATGTGTGTGTGTGTGTGTGTGTGTGTGTGTGTGTGTGTGTGTGTGTGTATCTCCTAAACATTCGTATACTCTGGACCAAGATTTTTAACTTTTTTAGTCCCAAGAGTCTCTAACAGAGCTAAGAAATACCTAGGGCAGTGGTTCTCAACCAGGAGCAATTTTGCACTGCGGGGAACATTTGGCAATGTCTAGAGACATTTTTAATTGTCATAACTGGGGGTGAAGAGAAGGAATGCAACTGGCATGTAGTGGGTAGAAGCCTGGGATGCTGTTAAACATCCTACACAGGACAGCCCCTACAACAAAGAATTATAAGGTTCAAAATATTAACAGTACAGAGGTTGAGAAATCCTGACTTAGAGCAAACATGGGGTACATAAAAAGTTAAAGAACAAACACAGGAAAAGGAAAAAAGGAGAAAATACTGACTAGAAAGGTAGTAAGGGGGAAAAAAAGATTTTTTTTAATGAGAATTTTAAAAGAAATAAAGAGATAAGGAACCATAGCACCTACTTTAAGTGCAGTACAGTGGTATTTCTGATATGATGTGCTATTTTATGAAATAATATCTTCTTATTATAAGATAATAATCCTGAAACTGCAACTTTACATTACTCACTACTGACTGGCCTACTACGACCCACAGAATACTAGATCCCTCTCTCCAGTCTTTCACAATCTACCCATTTCTTATAATAATTCACTTATTCCTACAACAAATATTTACTGAGCACCTACTACATGCCAGGCACTAGGGATACAACAGTCTTAAGCAAAAACTCCTGCCAGAGTAGAGCTGACATGGGGGTGGGGTGAGGGGTTGCTACTGATGCACCTAGTTTACTTTGCTGAGTAAATCACTTCACACTTATTTCTGCTAGTAGAGATGCATCTATTGGCACTACTCCAAGTTTCCCAAGTCATTTCAAAATCAAGACTATAGCCATCCCTGTCACTCTTGCCCAGGCTGATGACAAATGAATATGTAAAAGGTACAGTGTCTAGTTCACCATCCACAAACTGTGTTTCTTCAAGCAGGACAAAGCTTTTCAGCTTCTCCCCCTAAGGAAAGCTTCTAGAGCATTACAGGTACACTTACAAGGTTATGACAGAAAGTGAAAGGGAGGGGCTTCCTGGTGGCGCAGTGGTTAAGAATCTGCCTGCCAATACAGGGTACATGGGTTCGAGCCCTGGTCCGGGAAGATCCCACATGCTGCGGAGCAACTAAGCCCATGCGCCACAACTACTGAGCCTGCACTCTAGAGCCTGCGAGCCACGACTACTGAGCCCACGCACCACGACTACTGAAACCCGCATGCCTAGAACCCATGCTCTGCAACAAGAGAAGCCACTGCAATGAGAAGCCCACGCACCGCAACAAAGAGTAGCTCCTGCTGACCACAACTAGAGAAAGCCCGCACGCAGCAACAAAGACCCAACACAGCCAAAAAAATTAATTAATTAAAATCTTCAAAAGAAGAAAGTGAAAGGCAAACACTGACAACAACTGGGGGAACTATAATCCAAAGCAAATCACCTCAAAGGGTAGTTCACAATAAATCCTCCAACTCAGAAAATATTAAAATGCAGAGACGACCTGAGGGCACTGCCACCCGTTCCTCTCCTGGAATAATGAGGCATTCAGCACAGGGGCACCAGCTTTACACAGTGAGGAGAAACTCGGATCCACCAAAGGGATACTCTTCCCAGAGACTTAATGGATTAAGTAACAGGGTCTCACCCACACCACCTTCCCTGAGATTTATATGGAAATCCGTGGTGAATGGTGAAACCATAGAGAAGTCTTAGCATTTACTGAGGTCAGCAATATGGTGCAGGAAACTGAGCACAGGAGGAAGGGGTATGGTTCGAAGGAAGAGAAAATGTTGGAAGAAAGAAATTACTGTCCACTAATTTTCAAGGGAAAATTAGTGGATAGTATTTTCCCCCAAGGAGGACCCCTGGCAGCTGCACCCAGGGACTAAGCATGACTTCCTTGCGGAGCTCACTAGGGGCTGAGCCGGAAGGCAGAGGAAAGAGAAACCCAGAGGGATTAGGGGTGGGGGCTGGGAAAAGATTGTGGTTAAAAGGGGGCTTTAGTAAAGGTAGGGAAGGGGGAGCCAGAGGGATGGAGAGTAATACTTCCCAAACCTCATGAGCACAGTAGGAGAGTGAGTGAAGGGAAGAGGAGAGAAGGTGGAGGCCCCTAAGAATTCACACCCTGTGCCCTCAGTTACAAACACAGTCTAGTTGCTAACAATATTAAATTCCAAAATGACTTGTAATGTAGGAAAATAAAATAAACATCCTGCACACTTACCCAATCCGGGTAAACAGCTTCCCATGGGCATGGAGAAAACTGAGGATGAACCTTTTGTTCAGCTGCATGGGAAAAAAAGAGAGGAGAAAACAATTAAACTTTCCCCAGTTTCCTGTTACTGAACAGAGTCCCTAGTGACACAATAACCTGGCCAGGGTCTAAGGGGTGGGCACTAGGGATGGGAACCAAATGAACATGCCCAAACTCTCACACAGACCCAGGGCCCATGCCCAACAGCTGCTGCTCAGCTGAGCCAAGATGACAGCAGGCTCGGTGAACGGACAGCACCCCCTGCTGGCAGTAGTGTCTGAGTGCAGGGAGCGAAGCACTGAATCCCAACTAAGCTGGGTAGATGGCTGTCACCCTCTGCCATCTAGAAGTCACTCTGTCCCCATAATGACGGAAATGAAACACTGACAAGTACAGGACAGGGATGATGATGATCTTGGATAAGTCTCTTCTCCTTCTTACGAGCTGTTTTTCTACCTACCCAAAAAACAGAACTCTTCTTTGGTAACCAAGGGTAAGGTAATCCCACCACTAACTAGCTTATCAAATCGTACTTCTCCAGCTTTTAAAATACAAGTTCAAACCTTTCCTTTTTTTTTTTTTTCTTTTCTTTGAAAGAAGAACTGAAAGCTGGGGTTATGTGAAATCCTCTGGCTTTTAAATGTTGGCTACTAAAGAAAAAAAATTTAAACATTAGGCAAGCCAAAAGCACACGTTTGCCAGCCACATCTGGCTCACAGCCATGAGCTACCAAATTTTCAATCTCAGTTCAAGGTTCTAGAAAATCTACTTCTATCAAAATTTAGGGGATATATTCCTCTAAGCAAAACAAGGCAGGGAAAAAAAATTCAACTCCAAAGAAAGTGGAAATAATCTAAAGAGCAAACCCTGTCATCTTCCCTGGCCTCCTGGAAGCAATATGCTCCGGGCCCTGTAGCCAGACAGGGAAGAGGGATAAAGGCTTTTGATCTCAAGGTGGTGGTTACGGGCAAGCGACAGTCCAGCACCCTGGATGTTCTGCCCAAGAGGAAAATACTCTTCTGGTTTATACCCTTGCAAAACAGAAAACCAGTCAAATTGTGGCAGTTCCACCAATTTCACAAGGAAGCTGGGCGTGAGGAAAGGAGGGCATTCTCGTCTCCCCAGTGACTTCAACCACAAACTGCAAACAATCTTCAGTCTTTATACTTGCTTGAACAAATTACACTTAATCAGCAATACCAGACAAAACTGATTTCTGTAGTTAAAAAGGATACTTCATGGAACGTAACCTGTCTCTACAGTGAAGTGAGTCAGGGCAGGGGACACTGGGTTCCATGAACCGAAGGGAAAGATGAGGACCTGCCACAAAATAAATGGCCGAGGGCTCCGCCACTGTTAGTGGCAAGGCCTGGGCTAGAATGCAAAGGAAGGTGGTGAAAAACTTACCCCTCAAACCTCTGCCACTTACCTGCTGTGGGGTCTCAGGCAACTGATCTAACCTCCCAAAGTTTTTCTTTCTACGCAGTGGAGATAACAGTACCTATACATTAAGGGACTGGTGCATGAGATAAGGCAACTAAAAGCACGTGCTCGGTATCTGTAAACACTCAAGTGTCAGCTGAACATGCTCTCCCAATGAATGGTAGAGTGAGTGGTAAAATGTTAACAACTGGAGAATCCGGGTGAAGGATATACAGGAGTTCTCTGTATTATTCTTGCAACTTTTCTATGGGTATAAAATTATTTCAAAATAAAAAGGTAAAAATATATATTCTCTCTCTATTCTTGTTTTAACTCATGTCCCTTTTTCCAGCTGCCAATCATAAACTGGTTAACTCATCCATAACTAGTTATATTTATACATACAGGATACTTTGGTAGAAACAGAACGATATTAACCCATCTCGTTCAAGCCAATTACTATCCCCCAAGCCGCAAGACAGCTCAGAAATTCAAGCACCTTAAACCAGTGAACGACAGAACTTGAACCCAGGTCTTCCGATTCCAAAACAGTTCTCCTCCCCTTAAACTGCCATCTGTCTCAGGAAGAGAACAGGTGAGCTTATTCATGACGGGCCAACGAGGGCGGAAGAGCAACTAAAAAGAGCAGTTCACTTTTACCTTTAAGTTTTCCTCACCCATTAGGTAGGAAACACTGTGTAACTCACAATGCCTCCTGGAACAAAATGAGTGCACCACGAGGTTTTTTAATGCTGGAGTTCTAGCTATACTTCCCAAAGATCCTTCTCTTAGGGTAGCAGATGAAGCCTACTTAATTACCTGACTTCACACCTGCCATTATCATATTTTAACTACATCTAGTAGAAAGTGGATTTCAATGCATTGTTTTTCAACTAGTGATAGTGAAGGGAATCTTAGCAAACTTTGTCAAACTATACACACATTCTCTCTGACCTTGGTTAATGAGAACCACTGCTTTATTTTTAGTCTGAAAGTACCTGTCACCCAAAATATAGTTTCTCTTTATCTGTCACCAACATTTTGAGTAGGAAAGCAGCTAAAATGTAGATACATTCTAGAGAGAGGTAAAGCATGTTATACTGAGGAAGCAGATTTGTTACACATTGATCAAAATGGGACTAAGCACTATCGTAAATTAACAACATGAAGTCAGCAAGTGCTGAGGCAGAGCTTTTGGAAAACCTAACTGATACCAAGTCCACAAAAGGAAGGTCTTAGTCTGAGCTTCCTCCCTCTCCAACACATCACCATGGATTGGCTTCATGTTTGGAGCTTTTTGATTCTTAACAATACACTCAGATGGTCTCACTCGGGTAAGAGAAAGAACTGTTTTTCCGCATATGGTGAGACTGTCTCCAGATCTTCCTCGTGCAATTACATACTGTTCACCAGAAACTAAAAATGCTTCTTGGGTGTAGCCCTAAGAGACAGTGTTAGAATTATTAAAGGGCTCCTGGCTCTCTGGTTTAAGTCCATAACCGACTCACAAGGGACTCTTGAGCCTTTTGTACCATCTAAACCCAAGGACCCAAAGAGACACTAATGGCAATAGTTGGATGGGTAGGTCTCTGGACACTCACAACAAAGTCTGTCCTTCCATTAACTATGGCGTTATGAGTAAAATGGTTTGGGTTGTTCCTCAACTGTAAAATGGAATTTCCACCACTGACGGCACCTAACTCAGAGCTGAAAGGACAAAACGAAGTAATACAAATTAAAGCATTTTGAGGAATAAATGTCTTATGCAAGCCCCGGTTATTACTACTCAGAACTGCCTAAGTGCTTTATGAACTGTGTAGCAAGGAAAGAGAAAGAAGCTCCTCAGAGGCAGCAAGACATCACCAGAGGAGAGGATTCTGAAATATGCTCAATTTTAATTCTTAATAGTTGTTCCTGCTTCTAAAAAGTTGTGTGGAAAACTGAATTTCTGAAAAGTGAATCATTTTAAGGACAGTAGGAGGAATTAAGAGGAATTCCTCAGTATTAAGAGGAATTCCAGCATGCGTCTTTAAAGCGTTTTGGGGAACATAAACTATCATTCTCTAATTTATTCATCTGGGATGTCTCTACTTTTATATACCAAGTACTAAAAAAAAAAAAAAAAACTTTGTTGTGTTTTAAAAGGGGGGCTCTATCCCCTCAGATATGAGACAACATAGGTGAAGACCAAATTTCAATGGTACCTGTTAGAAAATGTCCAGGACTTTCAGAGCCTGCCATCAAAGCCCAGTTATCTCCCTAAAGCACTGAGATCACAGGTGGAAAAGAATGTGAGCACAGAGGTGAAGCTGCCCACCTTCATCCCTGTGCTCCCCTGACAGGCACAATCAACAGCAGACCAGCAAGACAGAGTCCCCAAAGCCAAAGAACTTGTAGCCCAAGAATAAAAGATAAATAACAAACCAACTTGCCAACTCCCCATTTATGTTCCAAAACCTAAGACAAGGCCTTCTGACTATGAAGGTGCCAGGAAGGACTGTGCTTCCCTTACTGTCACTATCCCTCAGCCAGGAAAAGTCTGTGGCAGGGAGATCTAAGGAGATGATAGAGAAAGTGAGGAGGGAGGGCATGGCACACAAAACATGGAAGCCTACCGGTAAGTCAGCAGTATAATAATCATATAGCAGGAATAAAAACTGCTCATTAGAACTTTCAGTATTCCTCTTTCCAGGATATAGATAAATAAAAATGTATAGGCAAGTCAAGTAGCAAGACTCAAATGCCTTGTAGGGAGACAAAGCAAATCACAAAAATCCATCTTCGAATCCCAAAGAGCCACACTGAGGCTGAGGTAGAGCAGGTATGGTGATTACGCTTCACCTGCAGTTTCCTCACCCCTGAACTGTTCTGGGCAGGATGACAGCTCAATTAGCTCTAATTAAGCCCAAGTTCCATGTAGAGCTGTCCTACTTAGATGGCTGGATCTGAGCCATGTGAATTCAAGTGTAAAACGTGCCTCTTAAAACAAATGCACCCCTTGAAACAACAGCTCTCACTCTCACACTGCAGCTTAGTGCTGCTTCAACAAAGTCTTACATTAAAGCAATTTACTTGCTATTACTTCATTATCTCTCCTACTTAAAGCCAGCAAACTGGAGGGAAATTGGGCTAAATGTCAAATCAGCAGTCAGCTCCGGAAAACCCAGCCAGCAAGCAGAGGGACAGCTGAGCTTAGAGTACCAGGCTGGCTCTCAGGAGGAAAACTGGCACTAGGTCTAAAGAAAAGAAAGAACCGCGACTATTCTGTATTTATCGCTCATTTGTTTACCGTGGGGGAGGGAGTAGTACGGAATAATATGAACAAAGACCACTGATCTGGGTTCAAATTTTGGTTATGCCATTTATTTTCTACATAACTATCGACAAATCACGTCAACTTCCTAAGGCTGTTTCTTCAACTATAAAACAAGAAGGCAGGGTGAGATCAATATCAGTGATTCTATAACCCTGAGTGTGTACGCCATCACAAGAAGAGCG